AGGATGATCATGATTCAGAGCTCACCTCAGGACCTTGGACAGCACCTGGTTTAGCTTTCAAGCTAGCACATGCAAAAATATTAACTTTAATTAGTAAATTATGCTAAATTACTTATGAACACAATCTCGTTATCCATAACTGTAAAAGGTAGATAATATTATTTTCCTCTTTCTATAGATGAACAAATTGATGCTCTGAGACTTAAAGTCTTATAGCTAGTAGGTGGCTGAGATGGCATTTGAACCCAGGAAACTTGATTCCAAGCCAATATGTTTTACCACTGTATTATCCTCCCTTATATGTAGCAGATTACATATGTAAAAAGTCCTTAGTTTGTCAGTTACTTGTGACTAACTTCACCTCCTTCAAGTTATACTCATTAATGACGAATAACAGAACTAGTCAAAATGGCTATCTTCCATCTAAACCACTTCTTCCTGAACATCCACACATCCTTATCTTTGTTCTCATCCTCAGAGGCAGCCTTTTCATATACTTCCTGAGAAGACATATTATGCTTGAACTTGTGACGAGCTAGGCTAACCCTGAAAGTAATGGGCAAAGCTCAAACACATTAGCGATCCCTAGACTGCAGATAAATCTATGAATCTATGAATCTAATGGTACTCTAACTCTCTTCAACCACCCCAGCATGAAATCATCAGCTTTTTCCTATTAAAACATGTAACAAAAAGATTCAAAATACTGAATTTCATTATCTGCAGCATGGGCAAAACGGAATAAAAGTCACTCAAGCTATGTGTTTCTGGGTGTGTGTGTGTGTGTGTGTGTGTGTATTAAAGTGGTTCACTGCTAATGCTTTGGTCCCTCTGAGTTTCTTAGAAAACAAAGATGGGGTGGCTAGAGTATTTCTAGAACAATTAAGAACAGTCTTGCTGAATGAAGGCTTGCTCCTCTATTACTGCTCTTTACTTTTAACAAACTCAAAGTCTTTTATAAAAACATAGAGGGGATACTTTCCTAAAAATATTGAAAACAACCCTGAGTACACATCTGCCTTCAGATTCTGTTGGCAAGCAAATGAACACAACCTCAAACATGAGGACTAAAACAAACTGAACAACCTGATGTGAGGCCGCTTCTTGGGATTCTTATGCTGAGAGGCTCACTTCTGTCTTAAAGAAAATCAAACCCTGTGTTTTGGTCAAGTGTACTGTGCTTCCATTGCCTGTGTAATTCACAATTACCATAATAGGAGCACTCGGTTCTCTGGCTGCATTACAACAAACACATCGGATGAGTTTGTGGGAGGATGTTCACAAGCACCATCAGTCATTGTCTGGAGATTTATGATCCACATATAAGATCAACAGTCTGGTGCTCACTGATTATTTTACTGCTGAGCTGCACCATCCATCTCCACTTAGGAATCTTAAAGATTTCTTAGGCAATATTGCAGGATCATCTTTTAAGAGGCATTATCAATGACCCTCCAACACCTATGACTAAAGCAAAATTGATATGAGACTACTAGTCAATGAGTCTCAGAAATCAAAGGACTTATTACAAATAAATATCCTACCCATGAAAATAAGCTTTTACTAACAGGTTTAGCAAAGGTAAAATATATATTTTTATATATATTCATATTTTATGTATCATATATATGTATGTATGCTGTACAATATCTGAGGATTAAATGACACATGTCAATACCTACTCTGTTTACAGACTTAAGGATATAAAATGTAGATTCTGAATGTGGGACTGCCTTGTCTAAAATCAACCACCACTGGTTTAAAAGATGTCCTAAGGGCTGAGCTTGGCCACAGTGACAGAGACCATGCTTACCAAATACCCATGTGCTCTCTCTACAGTAGTTAAAAATTATGCTGGGTATAGAGTTCTTGGGATACTTTTTTCTAAAGATCAGCCTACACTTTCATTATGCATTTCCCAATCTCCGTTGCAATTAGGTTAGGTCCATACAATTAAATTGACCAGTAGGCTTTGTATGTGTACCTTCCAGGCTGAGGCATGTAGGAGCTGGTATGTGTTTTCCATCACTCTCCTCCCCAGCAGGGGCGATCTTGAAGGACATGCACAGGTGTCATAGAAGATGGAGGTCTCCCTGGCCAACACTGGGCTGTAATAAGAGTGAGAAATGAACTCTTATTGTGTTAAACCCTGGAGATTTCAAGATTGTCAGCTGCAACTAATTACTCTGAATAATACAGCCACAAGTATCAGATGGCATTGAGAATTCTCACCATTAAGAACAAATCTTATTTTCACTACCAAATTGGGCATAAATCAAGAAAGTATTTTTTCTCTTATCAAAGGAGTGAAAGAGTTCTTATACCTATTCTAGTTTTACCTCTAAAAATTATGCTGATCACGAGGTTCTTTGGGCACTGTTTTCTAAAGATGAGCCTACACCTTAATTACATTGAGAGATATGTAAAATAAAGACCTCTGCCCAGTTATTGTTGTTCTAGTCTTATTAATAGGCTGGAAGAACAGTATTTAATTCCAGTACCCTGGACTATGCATCCCAGTGGTCTCCAAACTGTGGTAAGCTATCTCCTCTGCAAGAGCTTTAATGTCAGATACCTCCCTGATCCATCTTTTGGGGCTGGGCCCATCATATTAACTGCCTGGACTCAAATGCAATATGGATGGGGCGGTCAGGAGAGCAAGGCAGAGGCACCCAAGCTTTTAACAAGCTGCTATCCCAAGCTATCAGCCCATGAAGAAAGATTTTAAGGAGAAATCCCACTGTTATTCCAGAAGGCATCTGTCACATTATCTTAGCCACAATGGGTGAAGCATAATGAAGCAAGAAGTCTTCGGCCATAAGCTACATTTGGTCACCCAGAATTGATTTAAGTATTGTAAGGGTGGTAAAAGACTGTGGTGTATGTAAGAATATTGCCTGTAACTCATCAAAGGAAATCAGATCCCATGAAATGTAACTAAGAAGTGCTGATCAGAAATATATGTCAACTTTCTATACCTACTCTGGATGGAGAAATCTCTATTTTAAAAGATGTGTCAAAATGTTTTCCCATTATTTGCTGAATTTTTGTGTGTCATCCTTTTCCATAAGGCAGTCTTACTGCTGCATTAGAGTAGACAAATAGGGATCTCTGACTCTGTGGATGTGGAAGAAACAACCAGGCTAGGGTGGGAGGACTACGTGTGACTAAGCATTTCCCTCTCCTCAGGTTTCGGTCCTGTGGCAAGACATCCATTGCACAACATGCCTGGACCCTCTGACCCCTTCTTCATTCCTAGGAAAGGAGGAATTTCTTACCTACTCAGTGAATTTAAGAACAGGAACTGTGACCATGTAGCTTAGACCTTCCTCCTCCTCTTTTGGGGATTTGTCTGGTTGCAGAGAAAATGTGCCTCACAGTAAGCTTAGTGGTAAAGGCTCTGCCCCTGCAAGAGGCAGGCAGAGTTTTCCTGTGCTACCTCTGATGAAGGGATAAGTTGGTCAAATTCTGGGATTCAGCATTAGGAAATTCTCTCTTGTTACACACCTAAGTTACATCCTCGCATTCAACATTAATCAGCAATAAACCTAATACTTTTATATTCATTTGCTTGACTCCTTTATCTTGCGGTTTGGGACTTGGCATGTGGGGAGTGGTCTGCCAATCTAGGACAGATACCCAACATCTGAACTTGGGAAATTTGTCTAGAAGACAGTTTCAAAGTCCCAAATGGGCCATAAAGCATTCAGATTCTCTATATTAGTCAACTGAAACCAACTCAAGCTAGAAAGGGGAGTGGGGAGGGAACAGAGATTCACATGAAGATACAGTGATATTACATTAAACTCAGGACAAAAAAGCTGTTGGACCTTCAAAGGGAACTAGAACCAGGAAATGTGAGCTCACGTGGATTCTCTCCACCTCTCGTCTTAACATCCCTGTATACTTGCTTTGTCCTTCTCTTTCTCCGCAGACAGGCTTTCTCAGCTCTTCTAGGTCACATGGGCTTTTACATGTATGTATGTCTGGGAGGTGCCCATACTGATCTAATCAGCTGTAGTCACAAGCAAAGGGATCATACAGAACAATACGTCTGCTGTATCAATAAATCAATAATACAGTTATTGACTAAGAGTCAGAAATGGGAAGCAGCTGTATGAGGTTTGGGGACTAAGAAGATATGTAAAACAGTTGGACGGAAGAGAGGGACTGGAAATTAAGTCTAACAGTATTGGTGGTCTGTGCTGAGGGCACCTGTGAGATTCGTGGTCCTGTACTTAGAGACCAGTTATTCCGGCTGCAATTTTCCCCCAGTCATGAACAGCTTTTTATGTGCAGACACAGCCTAGGCAGAGAGTTGAGTTTAAGCTGCACTGCTTTTTTTGCTCAGCTGAGTCAATCCGAGGAAAAGAAGATGCTGTTGGTATTTTGT